GCCCCCATTGGCCCGGGATGGCAAACCGCGGCCAGTGGGAGCCGCGATCAGCCGAACCTGCCGCGTCAGCAGGTAAATAAACTGGCCCGGCCCGCCAGGGTGCTTACCCTGGCGAGCCGCGTGCCGAACGTTGCTGACTCCTGAACTAGACTAAGCAGTTTTTCTCACCCCACTGGATATTGCAGTTCATGGGCCAGGCCCCTCAGTTAGAGTTTTAGAGTGTCCTTGTTACTTGCAGCATAGGTGGGTGAAGGAGAAAGGCCCAGCATGGGGCCACTATATCTGTTTTATATCCTCAGTCCTATGTGCTTGGGGAGTACAAGTCCAGGCATGTCCGGGGGCATTGCTGAGTCTCCAGATGAGGTTGAGCAATTCCCCTGGTGTGGCCTCATGCAGGTGAGTCATTAAATTGTAGCTCCCTTGCTGGACAATGGCTTTTGATGGGTTGTTTGACACCCCGCCCAAGTTTTGGTTACTTTCCTTGCTGTTGCCTGTGGGGAGCTAATATGTGGCGGATTCACCAACTTACAGCATGTTTTAGTGACAACCATACAACACAATTCTCATAACTTCCTATGCATTAATGATATACATATATGGATAGAGAAATGACTTTCAGCAGATCCTAATCTTTCCCCTGATACCTTATAAGGCATGCTTTATATGTAATATCACAATTATATACAGATGAGGAATATCAGGGGTTACAGGATGCTCCCCCAAGGTACAGAATGTGTCAGTCTTTTAGATATGACTTCTCCTATCCTCTTTCACTTTGTTCTTCAGTCTATTTTCTTCAGCTAGCCTTGTTCTAAAATTAACACAGCATGATGGGCTGAAACACCTACTGCTAATTTTTTTAGACTGTATTTATTACAATTTGGAAGCATTTGACGTTTTATATTATTGCTCTTTCCCTTTCATAGTATGCATTTGGATAAAGAACATAGCAGAATAGGTGTCTTCTGTGTGGAGTGCATGGAAGGAAAACTTTCTTTAATGGTACATTCCTAGACTACTACTTTTGCTAATACAATGTCTAGACATGATCGTTTAACAAATTCTTAACTACTTCCCAGCTATTATGGGACTCGTTGCAGGGTAGCTATAGATGTTGGAAGACGGTCGCAGTTCATGCTACTACGAAGTGTCTGCAATTCTGATTCTTGGCATAGCTAATTGGCCCAAAAACATTGGCTGCAGTTGTAGTGAGTTTCTGGAGCTGCTGTAAACTGGCTTCTAGAAATATAGGATGACATTTCAAAGGTGGGGGGTTTGTCCCCTGATTCCACACTTCCTTTCCCTATCTAGCTCAACTTTAAACTGACTTTTCTTACTTAATTTAAGGATTCCCTTGAGAGAGAGCTTCACCTCAGCGGATCCTAACAGTTTGTAGGCTTCAAAATTCCAACTCGCCTGCTGATTGAGCAATGTGGTGTTCAGCTCTTCCATCGCTTGATTTCACTATAATTTCGCCCACAAAAGTAGCAGCAGCCAAAATTGCACTCAGTCACTTTCATACAGAGCTGGCTGCAAAGACAAACTAGGGAGGTTTGTGTGATCCTAATCACTTTTCTCTTTTAATAGGTCTCATGCACAGGATGTGTGTATTAATCCCGCACTCTAAAATAAAATATTCTGTTTGCAGAAGTTTGTGCAAACTTTTTCCGGTTTTGATTCATCTGGGTTCACATCCCCGGGGTTTGGACCCAAAACTCAAAGCAAAATTCATCTGACATTAGAATTTTGTTTCATTTTGTTTGGTTTGAATTTGTGCAAAACCAGAACTGGAGTGGTTTCACTCATATTCATAAAATTTCTCGGGTTCACTGAAAGGTTCTTGAACCTCAGCATACCTGATTAGAGCTCCTCAATTACCACAAAACCTGGAAAACCTTTCCTGTTTTCAGGCTTCCTTGTGAAATATTTCACACAGATCTACTTCTGCAATGGATGGGACTAAAGCCAATTGTACACAACAAACTTTTTTAGGCATAGCTATGTCCAGCAGGGATGTGAAGACGTGTGATCCCTGACCAATATATCTGAGCTGGCAAAAGCCCTTAGTATAGATGCTTTATACTGCCAGTTTAGCTTATTTCGCTTCATGGGAGGAGAGAGGAGGACTGGGGCTTGATACACTATGTTGACAAAAGGGCACCTTTGCAAGTATAAGCTTTGTCCACAGTAGGAGTGCTTTGCCGGTATACCTGTACTGGCAAAGCCTTCCAAGTGGAAACGTGG